GCTCTTCTTACCCTTCCTCCACCTGGCCTCTTCTCCCGTCTTACCCCCTCCTCCCCTTCTCCCCACCCCCACGTTCTCACCTCCTCCTATTCTTCCTCTCCTTTACCTCTTCTCCCTCTCTCCTCCCCTCCTTCCCTCCCCTTCTCTTCGCTTCTCCCTCCTTGCCTCTTCCTAGTCCTCCTCCCCCTGCCCTTTCTCCCTTCCTCTTCCTGCTCCATCTCCTGCCTTTCTCGCTGTCCTCCCCAGGCCCCTCCTATTCTCTATTCCTCCTTCTCCCCTCTCCCTTCCCCCATCTTTCCCCCTCCCCCCATCCCCTCCTCCCCTTTTCCTCCCCACCTCTCCTCCTGGCCTCCTCCTTCCCTCCCCCACCCCTCTTCCCCATCTCCTCCTCCTCCCTCCATGTCCTCCTTCCTCATTCTCTCCTCTCCCATCCTCCTCCTCCTCTTCCTGCCATCCGGGGGAGTGAATCCAGGGCTTCCTCACTGATCTACATCTCCAATCCCCCCCTTTTTTTTTTGGTACCAGGGATCGAACTCTGGTGCTTGCGGTTGTGAGACAGGTGGCGGAACCACTGAGCTAGATCCCTGGCCCCGGCCCTTTTTGTTTGAGACAGAGTTCACCAAGTTGCCCAGGTTCACCTGCCTCACCCTCACTTTAGTTTTCAGTTCTAAGGGAGGTAAGACCCTTAGTCTGAGGATGTAACCACCACTGAGCAGAAGCGAGTGTGGTGCAAAGCCATATGTGGAGCCGAAGAGGTCTAAAAGAGTGCTGAGGACCCCAGTGAGCCCTAGAAAGACACAACTCCACTGAATTCTCAGCACTGTCTTTCCTTGTCGGAGTAATGCACAAAAGCTCTTCTTCAAATCTCTGTTTCTAGCAGCGTAGAGGTATCAATTGCAGAATACCAGGAGAGAGTGGTCCAGGCAGTGCCAGAGATCCTGTGATAATCTGGAAAACTGAGAGACTTCAGACACCAGATGACAGGGGTTTCACTGCCAGTGCCTGCTGTCAGTGTCAGCCTAGTAGGACGTAAGCAGGACTAAGTGGCTGCAGCCTAAGACTCGACCCTCTGTGGGCTCTTAAGGGACACAGTGACCAAGAACATGGGGCCTTGGTTGTAGTCAAGATGGCCTGTCCCCGCTGAAGATGTCATAGGATCTCATTTTTCCCACTCCAGGCAAGAGTCACCTGTGGTCCTACTCAGAGTCCTGCCTGCTGTCCCTCACAATAGCCATCATGCCCCGGGGGGGACAGAAGAGTAAGCTCCGTGCTCGAGAGAAACATCAACAGGCCAGAGGTCAGACCCGAAGTCTGCAGGGTGCTCAGGTCATTGCGGCGCAGGAAGGAGAGTCCCCTTCCTGTCCCTGTCCTGTTTCTGGAGATGCTGCTGGCCCTCCTCAGAAGTCTCCAGGAGTGCCGCCCACCAGTGCTGCTGCTGCTCCTGCTGTTTCATCCAGGAGATTGGGCAAAGGTGCCAAGAGCAGGAGGCCAGAAGGGGCTACCTCCTCTAAGGTCCCACGCTCCACTGAGAGCTCACAGAAAGAGCTTGTGGTGAGGAAGGCAGAAGTGTTGATGCAGTACCTGATGTACAAGTATAAAACGAAGGATCCCATTTTGAAGAGGGAAATGCTGAAGACTGTCCACAAAAGGTTCAGAGAGCACTTCCCTGAGATCCTCAAGATAGCCTCTAGGCACATGGAGCTGGTCTTTGGCCTGGAGTTGAAGGAACTCAAGCCAGGTGGTAGTTCCTACACCCTGGCCAGCCTGTTAGATCTCACCTATGATAAGAGCCCGAGTGGTGACTTTCCCAAAACTGGGCTTCTCCTGGCTCTCCTAGGCCTCATCTTGCACGGCTACTGTGCTACTGAGGACGATGTCTGGGAATTCCTGAGCACCTTAGGGGTCACTGATAGGAGCATGCACTTTGCCTTTGGAGATGTCAAGAAGCTCCTTACTGAAGATCTGGTCCAGGAAAAGTACCTGGAGTATCACCAGGTTCCTGGCACTGATCCTCCGCGCTATCAATTCCTGTGGGGTTCCGGAGCCCAGATCGAAACCGGCAAGATAAAAGTCCTAGAGTTTTTGGCCAAGGTCACTTGCTCTGATGTCAGTGACTTTGCACTCTATTATGAAGAGGCTTTGAGAGATGAGAAAGAGAAAACCCAAGCCAAAGTTGCAGCTGGGTCTGGAGCTACTGCTTAAGCCAGTCCAAGCCCCAGCTCCAGCCCCAGAGCCAAGCCAGCCTCTGTACACCCTTGTATGTGTGGCAGATTCTTCACTTTGTCATTTAAAATGCCTGTTCAGTCTTGTTCTAGTTGTGTTGTTATGCATGAATAACGTTTTGTTCCTGTATCACTCAAGGGGCCTCTATTCAACAGAATGTTTATTTAGATTCACAGTGTAATGCGAAGAATGTTACTGATCAAACATTCTTTGCCCTGTACCAGGTTTAGCAATAAGGTATTGGTTCCTTTTGAAACACAAATTGGAATTCCTGAAATCACTTTGATGGTCCACACCAAGATAACATGTCACTGGAACAGGAAGAGCCTTGGACATGTGAAATATCCACAGTAAAATATGTGGAATCAGCTGTGTGCTAGTTAACTATCAACTTCTATGGGAAGGAAACACGCAACTGATTGGATCAGCATAATTCTGGGTGAGACTGAATAAATTTACTGAAGACAGAAGACCTATCCTGGTGTGAGAGACAACAACCAATAGGCTTGTGGCCTGATTGGAATAAAAAGGGAAATGAAGAAGAAAGGCCTGATTCTGTTTCGAGAGGCTCCATTTGTCTCCTTCACCTTGGACGTCATCTCCTGGCTTCCAGCCCAGACCCTCCAGCCTTCCATAGCAGACCCTTCAGCCTCCTGATAACATACTCACACAGGACTCTACAGTGACCTCCCAGCTTTCAAACTTTGACTGGGTCCTCTAGCACGCAGACTGCTGTTTTACATTCTTCCACACCTGACTCAGGCGGCCTTTGTGAGCCTACCTTGTAAAGCCTGATACATTTATCTATCTTATACTAATCTGTTTCTCTAGTGTGTACTGACTGGTACAAGCTAATAGGGGAAAAAAGTAAAAGTTACTTAGTTCTTAGTTTGCTTTACTTGATTCAGTTTTTCCTTTTGTACATTTAAATGACTTATGCCTACAATTGCTTTTGTTAAGAATGTATAAGAAATTAGATCATCCAAAATTTAATTGAGTATCTGCCTTTGGGAAGTTTTCAGGTTTTGTACTGGGGCTCTTAAGACAAATGAGAGTGCTCCTGCCCATGCAGTGAAAGACTGGGAGAAGTACCACTATGGAAGTGGGTGAGATTCCCCCTATTTCATAGAGAAGTAACAAACTATGAAAAGTAGAATTGGAGAGAAAACATGACTTAGTTTTCTTTGCTATGCAGCATTTTTGCCTAATGTTTTATGATTTTGTTTAGTTTGTTATTGTCCTTGAATGCTACAGGTACTATGATACTATCTGGTTTAAAAATTTGAAAAATATTTGAGGTACATGCATGGTAATATTTCAGGTACAAATCATTGTAGTAAAAATGCCAGCCCTTAATGTCTTCGTAAAAGACAAACACTACCACAGGACTTCACTTACACATATCTTCCTCCACTAGTATAAGCCATAGCCTATTAAATCTCTAGTGTTCACTCTTCTACCCTTGGGTCAGTTTTGTTTTTGTTACTTTCCACATTGTGAAAGAGCAAGCAGTATTTTTGTGCATGGCTTATTTCACATAACCTAATGTCTTCCAGGTTCATCTGTGTTGTCACTAATGACAATATAGCCTCTTCTTATGGCTGAATAATATTCCACCATGCATATATACCACATTTTCTTTATCCACTCATCAGTTGAAGGGCACTTTGGTTGATTCTGTCTTAGATAATGGAAAGTTATTTTTTAAATGGTCTACCATAGCATGGCTAAATCATGTAACTTGTAAAAAGCACTTAATTGCTCAAGTGAGTCACTCTAAGGCACTTCTGTATGGTGTAATACTTGTGTGATTAATCTTCTGTTCTTACCCCTACTATGGTGGACTTTGACCTTTGGACCAAGAATAAGTTTCACCTTTCCTAGCATTGAGATTTCATTGTTTGTCCTTCAGAAAGCTAGTTGGACTACCTAAGGATAGGGAGTGGAACTTCTGTGAGTTACAAAGATTCATTATGGAAATGATTTTGTACCTGTTTGTTCATTAATGTAGGTTTTATTCAAACTTTTGTATGTTGCATTTTAATACAATAAAACTTTAAAGATTCTTGTTGAAAGAGAGTGCTGCCTTTGACTATGGAAGACTATGATACCCAAAGAGAGTAACAGTTACTGACTAGACTAGCCAAATTGTCATAGGTCAATTAGTATCAATTTATCTTCAAATCAAAAGATTCAATAGGATAAAATATAAAAGTATCTCCTTTTGTGATGACCACAAAGTCAAAGAAGCATCAGAATTCGTGTACAGAGGAAAATAACAAGGCTCATTTCTTAAAGGCTACATAGCAAAGTATCAGAATTTCTCACTTATGTTTGCAACAACAATGATACTAAGTCTGAAAAAATATTTTTATTTTTTAAAAAGAATTTATTGATATATACTTCATATACTATTTGATTCATTAATTTTATTACATAATTCAATAGCTTTGATATATTGAATTTTTTAATATGGTAAAATATTTAATAAGTGCACAATTTAGGGGCATTGTTTATATATACAATCTTATATATCCATCGTCAACCCTTTGTCCCTCTTTGAAAAATGTGCATACACACAACAGTGCATACATTTTCAGTATTTCACTCCACATTATATTTGCTTTTCCTGGATTAGAAATAATTTTCATCTGGTATTTTCAGAGGTATTTTCCTCTGGCCTGTTTCAGCACTCTTTCTTTATATTTGGTTTTTATAGTTCAAACATGGTTTACCTGGATGTGGGTTCTTGTTTTCAACATTAATCTTATTGTGGTTCTCTGAGCTTCTTAGATCTGTAGTTTGGTATTTTGAAATGAATTTCAGAGAAATTCTAAGTCATTTTAAGTATTTCTTCTCTTGATTTTTCTCATTGTGCATATCTTTTTAGTTGTACAATTTCTGTATCTGTTTAGACATTTGTTTTCCTTTGTTTCTTAGTTTTGGATGCTTCTATTGAGATATTAGTTTCAGAGATTCTTTCTTCAGTCCTGTGAGTCTATAATAACCCAATCAAAGACATTCTTCATTTCTATTAGTGTTTTGGACCTCTAGTATTTCTCTTTGGATATTTCTTAGAATTTTCATGTCTCTGCTTACATTTTTTATCTATTCTTACAGGCTCTCTACTTTATCATTAGACCACATAGCATTTAAATAATACTTGTTTTAGTCTCAAATCTGATAATTCCAAAATCTCTTATATATGAGTCTGGGTACAGTGCTTGCACTGTCTCTTCAAGCTATGTTTTATGTCTTTGAATATGTCTTTTAAGATTTCCTCATATCCAACCACAATATATTAGGTCAAAGGAACCTCTATAAAAAAGCTTTTGCGTATGTGGTGGTATGATGTGGGGAAGGGGAAATGTTTAGTTCTACGATTAGATCTCACTCGTGTAGTGAGCTTATGCCTCTGGACTGTGAATCTCACTCAGTTGTATCTCGGTTGACGTCCTACCCCTTAGCTGGAAAAAAAAAAAAGGATATTTTTTCCTCTTGTACATAAATGTTGTCAGATCTTATATAATAAAATTTTTTATACAAAACTGGGTTGAATTCCAACAAATGAAGGAAATATTTTCCAAAAATGCTTTCATTAAATATCTGAAAATGTTTCACAAATTTAAATAAAAAATCAACTATAAATTTAATAGCCAAAAAATTTAGTCTGAAATTCTCTGAATTCTGTAACTAGACTATTCTAGACAACATCTTTCTTTGTTCTGACCACCAAGTTTATCCTCTATAAAATGAAGTGACAGGATAAAATGATTTCTGAGATTTCTTTAAGTTCTTCCAGCTCTAACGCTATCTGAACAAATATTTGTTATCTGTGGAACAGTGCTAGAAGTTGTGAAATGCAAGGACAAGATTCTGTTCTTAAGAAATAATTTAATTGGAAGATAAACACAAGTTAAATGCTGACAGTAAGACCCAGAGTTCAAGGAATAGTGAGGTTATTACCCAATTTTGTAATTATGGATGATCTCTGAAAGCTGTAATTTTGGGGGACATGTCATTGAAGGGCTCATGGTAGTCATGGAATCATTGAATGACTTTTGGCTGGAATAGAATAGAAAAGACTAAGTAGTGTGTTGCAACCAGTGATATTTGTAAAGGAACAGTTAGAGATGGACTTAGAAGGAGTCAGATCGCAGTGGAAACAGAACGTAAAGTTGGGAAACTTAAAATTATAGCCTTTGGGTAAGGAGAAGTTAATACTAAGGGGAATAAAGTTTAGCACTGCTATACAAATTGCTATTCAACAATTAACTCTGCAGAGGTAAAATTTGAAGTAGAATAAAAGAAATAATTTCAAAAGATGAAGAAGGGCATTTCAACCAAAGGAAATGCTGCATATAAAAGCACAGAATGGTGAAAATGCACTAACTACCAGGGAAATGGAAAGCAGTCCATTATGGCGAGATAACAGAGAGCATCACACACACAGTGAGAAAAACAGTGGCAACAAAGGAGGGTTCAACTTAGGGGGCCTCAGAACAGTATGCCAAGGTATTTGGATGTCGTTTTGCACAAAGGAAGCTTTCAGGATTCTCTAAGAAAAGAGTGACATGATCTAAACTGCTCTTTAGGAAATTCAAAACTCTTACAACTGAAAAGAAAAAGAAAAATAGCCAGGCATAGCAGCATGCACCTGTAGTCTCAGCTATTCAAGAGGTTGGGACAGGAGGATCATTTGAGCCCAGGAGTTCAAGACTAGCTTGGGCAACACAGCAAGACCCAGTCTCTATATAAGTAAGTAAATATACAAACACAGCAACTCTAACTACAGCTTAAAAGACAGCAATAAAAACTGATGACTACATTCCAGTTGCCTGGGTGGGAAATGAGGGACTGGAGATAGGAAGTGGAAACCAACAGTGATAGATAGCCAAGTAAAAACAAAGGCAGAAACATCAAGATGTAATGTGCAAATGAAGAAGATACCAGAAAAAAGCAATAATCATGATAATAAAAGAATAAAACAAATTGTAGTAGACATCACTTCTTGTGTGATAATAATATGCCAGAAACTGTTTGCATCTTTACATATATTACTTCCTTTAATCTTTAAAGATCTTGACAGAAGTCATTCTCATTTATCCTGATGAGAAAATAAAAACAGAAGTTAAGAAATTTGCTTATGGTTGCACAGTAACTACTTAAAAAATTCTCAAATAATTTGATAGTTCTTAAGTCATTCTTCTGTCATTTCTGCAAAAGTTCAATGAGTAAACCACATAGTTATGTATGTTCTCTCCCACACATACACAAATATTACTTCTTTGTCTTTTTATTCTCTCAACATTTTGGGGGAAGGAATGATGTTTTTATGCATCAATATTGTCAACTAATATATTTTTCACTTCATAGTGCACACTGAACAGTAATTTTAACTTTTTCTTCTAATTTTGGTAAAATACATGTCACACAAAATTTACTGTTAAGCAATTTTAAAATGTATGTATTTGTCGATCATGTTAATTATATTTACTGTCTTAGTTACTTTTCTCTCATTGGTGAAACAAAATTCCTAACACCCAAAGTTAAAGGGTAAAAGTTTATTTAGCTCAAAGTTTTTTTAGAAGTTTCAGTCCATAATCAACTGGCTTCAAGGCGGGGTGGTGTGGCAGACACACACCACAGAGGAGAAACAGTTCATGGTAGGCAGAAGGTACAAAGCAAACAAAGAACCTTAGCACCTTTTTTCTGACCCTTTTATTTTCTATCTAGGCTACGGGGATTAGGGCAGGGCCAATGCAATCAGTGAACTGATTTAGTAATCACACACCCTTAATCACAGCATCACACACCTCTGAAAAGCCCCACCTATGACCCAGATGAGGCTTTGTGCCTAGATATCACAAACCAGACACAAACCATAACATTTGCATCATTGTGCAACCAATCTTCACAACTCTTTTCATCTTGCACATCTGCAAATCCATACCTGTTCAACAATACTCCACTGACTCTTTCCCTAGCCCTTCACAATTATCGTTCTATTTCTGTATCTATGAATTTGACTACTCTAGGTACTATATATATATATATATATATATATATATATATACAAAATCTTATAGTATTTGTCATTTGTGATTGACTCATTTAACTTTCTTTTTTTTTTTTTTACAGTAATAGATGTAAAACCATGGCGCATAAGTGCTCTACCACTGAGCAACATCTTCAGCTACTTTTTCTCATTCATTTTGAGACAAAGTCTTGGTAAATTGCCCGGCCTGGCCTCAAACTTGGAATCCTCAGCCTCCTGAATTGCTGGAATTACAGGTATGTGCCACCACACTTGAGTGGCATTTTTAACTAATTATCTGCTTCCATTTCATGCATGTTGTAGCACACAGTAAAATTTCCTTACTTCATAAAGCTGAATACACTCCAGTGTATGTATATGTCATATTTTATTATCCCTTTGTCAGTGATGGAAACTTGGGTTATTTCCAGCTTTACACTCATGGGAGTGTGTGTGTCCAAATATCTCTTTAAGACCTTTGCTTTGATACTTTGGGACAGATACTTGAAAGTGGAATTCCTGGGTAGTATATCTATTCTATTTTTTATTTTTGAGAAATGTCACATAGTTTCCATAATAGCTGCACCATTTCATATTCACCAACTGTGCACAAGGTTTCAATTTTTCTAATTCCTCACCTGTAGTTTTTTATTTACTCTTTCTCTTGATAATAGCTATCCTAACTGATTTCAGGTGTTGAACAATAATTTTGAATGGAATTAATGAAGGCTTAAAAATTAAAGCGAAATATTTATGAGCTAAATTGTCTTCATTCTTTTCTTTAATATATTCCATTCTTTTTCAAGTTGATACAGATTCTATTTGTTCCATGATGTATTTTATTTTGTGTTTTAGCTAGGTTAAATGAAAGTAGTGTTGAAATTTCGCATGGAAAATAATTTTGGTTTCAGAAATTTTCATTTCTTTTTGATGAGCATCATACAAAGATAGTAGGATTACCCAGCTGCCTTCCTTCACAGTCAGCCCATGGCATGTTGTCATAACATTGATCATTTAGATTGGCCCTGGAC